ACATTATCTTGTAACCATGTATAATTCTTATGTTTCAGTTTGACTTAAGGACAAGGAAAACTTTCCTAAAAAGAACAAGATGTGAAGGTATCAAAGCCGATGATATTCATGTGGGTGCTATAGTGACAATATTTTCAAGGAATATGAAAATTACAGGCTACGCGGATACTTATACCAAGAACAAATTACAGACAAATATGGAAAAGTAATATATATATATGAATTATCTTAAAAATCTTATACGTAAGCTTTCTAATGCTGGAATAACACAGTTTTTTCTATTTCTTTAGAGTTTTTGTTCTTCTAAAGCCAGATGTTATCGACAAAATGGGTGAAATATTGAAGATGATTATAGATCATAATTTCCAAATTGTAAATATGAAAATGATGAAATTAACTCCAGATGAAGTTACAGAATATTATCCTATGAAAGATACAGTTGACAAAATGTAAGTTAAATTTGATATGATGGGAATATTTTATTTCAGTGATTATTATTTTCTAGTGATTAATTTCGGATATTGTATACATTCTTTTAGATGTATTATAAATTATCTCACTTCTGGCCCTGTCGTTGCTTTGGAACTGTTAGGAAAACATGGTATAGCCAGCTGGCAAGAATTGGCAGGACCTGATGATAGCAAGCAAGCTTGTTCAACTGCAAAGCCTTCACTAAAAGTTTGTTACGGGAAGGACGAGATACATAACGCTGTGTATGGATCCGAGAATGTTGAGAGAGCAACTCGAGTGAGTCTTTTTTTTTTATTTTAATACATAGTTGTTAATCTAAAAGCATATATTTCTATATTATGCATGGTTTGTATTTATAGGAATTGCAATATTTCTTTCCCGACCCGAAAAGCAAGACTAAAGGACCAAAGAATACCGCAACTCTACAAAATTGCACCTGCTGTATTATTAAGCCACATGCGGTACAAGCGAAGCTTGCTGGTAAGTTGAACAACTTTGTGTGTAATGTATGAGGATGAAATACACAATTCGTAGCATATTATTGTATTTTCTAAATTGAACATATACATTTAACATAATTTTTTTCACATCTAATACATTTTACATACATTTATACAATATAATTTTATATACACTTAATACACTTTATATACATTTAATATGTACGTTTAATAAAATTTAAGCGTCATTATTTAGGTGCTATTATCGACGACATTCAAAAAGCAGGCTACACAATTACCGCAGTGCAACAGTTTTACGTGAATCACATTAATGCAGAGGAATTTCTAGAGATTTATAAAGGCGTCCTTCCCGAGTACAATGTACGTCTTCATTCTCTTTGTGATTTTTACACAGACGCGTATAATCGTTTCCGTTCGAAGGAGGAAGTACTTTCATAAATGTTTGCTACAGGCAATGGTAACTGAATTACATTCTGGTCCGTGTATCGCTATGGAAGTGAGTCGTAAAGACGAAGGTCAGAACGTAATTGCCGATTTCAGGAATTTATGCGGCCCAAGGGATCCGGTAAGTATCACTTTAATTCCCTCGCTCACTGCGTTATTGACACACTTATCCGACTTATTGCAGGATATTGCGCGACAAATCAGACCAGGTACACTTAGAGCCAAGTACGGAAAAACGAAGGCACAAAACGCCGTGCACTGTTCCGACCTGCCTGAGGACGGCGTATTGGAAGTAATTGAAATTCTGATCTATATTTGTATAATTGATATATTTGTTTAACTGATTGAAATTATACGGTAAATGCGTAGACTTATATCTGTCATATATGAATATCGTATTCGTAAACTGGGTTTCTTTTTCCAGGTGGAATATTTCTTCAAGATACTTGACGGAATCTGAATGACTGTGAATTGCAGCGTGAGTGTGTGTGTATGTGTGTATTGCGACATAACATGTATCGCGCTGTTGCGTTCAGAATATTTTTATACTTTTGTACGTATAAATAAACATTTTTTTGATAAACAAAATGCCAACTCCTGAGGCTCCAGTAATCTTTGAATAAAAATACCGATACTTTCGATATTTATTTTAATCGGTCACGATTTCAACGACTGGCGAACGGATCTCCTTTAGCGACTTTTACAATTTTTATGGGAGGAAAATTTATAATTGAATTGTTTTGATCGTTAATCGGCCGAACGGGCATTTTCGTAGCACATGTTTGAAACCGCATGTCTAATGGTTCACACAGGTGTACTTTCTATCATTCGATATATACGACGCGTTTTTTCAGCACGATGTCGCCTGACATCGGCAAGATCGACGGGCGGACACTTTCATTCTCGTCGTTACTTGGACGAGCCTACACGTGTGTGTTTTCCCGCTTAATTAATATCCTCCCCAACGCGTCGACGTAATATTTCAATAACCGATAACCCAACACGCCGTCCCACTTGGACAGGCTATTGCATCGTCTTTTTTATCGGGAAAAATGCAAAGGTCATTGAGTTGCTTTGAATTGCCAAGTATCCGCACCTGCGAAACTTCTGTAATCTTTCCGACGGAGCGTCGACATTCGTCGGACTTGCAGCGTGTAAATTACCGCGGCAAATCGAATATTCAAGTGTGAGGATAAAAGCCGATAATAACCGTTCTTCGTCGTACATTATAATTCCCTCGAGGGCGCGCCTCGCACGCGTAAATACTGGCAAGTGCGATCGAAAGCGGATAGCGTGATTGTCTTTTTGGTTGAGTATTCTCCTTATATTTCACTCTTCTGGTGTACGATTACGCGTGGCGATTGTACAGTTGTCCCAGGTGTGTGTTCGTGCCTTCGTCCGCTGGAGTTTGCATTTCGCTCTCGGATATGTCCAGCGCGGGCGAGGGTTTCCGGAGAAAGGGGGAACCTCTGAAGTAACTCGGAGCTAGTTTCGCAAAGTTCCACTTCGGCACGCGGTTATTCCGACACCGAACTCTCGCGCGCGCGCGCGCGCTCGCGACGATTAATGTTCCTCGATCCTTTCGATGCTTGGTCCTTTTCGCGGGCGGACGCGTGGACAAGCTTCTTCGTTCGTTCAGCCTTCGAAAATCAACAATGAAGTTACATAATTGATGATACATCGCGTCGATGCAAAAGTTTGTTTCTCCGTTTCTCAATCGTGCCTTCGCTCAGCAATCCCGGAATTTCCACGAGCATTGGAGAGATGGCAGGTCATTTCACAAAGTGGCGAATATACTTAATTGATTGATTGTATTTTAAAATAAATAAATACCTCATGACGACATCCGTGGAATCGACTCACTTACGTGGACTCGATTACGTGGATGTCCTCGTGGGATGTTATATGTACTTTGCGATGAAAAAACCGGACGAACCTTCAACATCAACCCAATAATTTGACTTTTTTAAGATAATTGGTTTATGGAGCTGCTGCTGCGTAACTTCTAATGGCGATATTAAGTTTATTGTTTACCGAGAAAAAATATTTTTCTATAACTTTAACTACTTAAGTAATAAATATTAATTTTGAATAATTTTAAGTAATAAATATTAATTTTGGGCGCGAAATTAAGACAAATATATACACACAATATTATACACGACGATATTATTTATTTTGTATTTTTCTTATTAATGCTTTATTTATATCAATTGTGAACTAATAGAGGTGCATATATAATAGAAAGTGATATATAAATATATAAATATGTACATACATGTATACCGCGGGTATTATTATAAATTGTAAATTTCCTACAGCTATATTTTCAAAATAAGATGGTCAATAATTCTGAAATTTTTACATATATATGCGAAATCTCTATATTAATCTTTAATATCACAGTGTAGTTTTCTATTAAAATGTGGTTTAAAAGAAATTAAAAGTAGAAGTTAAAAATGAGACATTCCAGCACAAAATATATTTTATGAATTTTTTTATAAATGTTCTTAGTCTCAGAATATTTGAATCGAATATTCCATGAATATATCATAAAATATTGTAAGCAGAAAGATACGTATATTTGTATTAGAAAATAATTTCTTTAGAAAATTCGTAAAGTTTATTTACGCACGCGTGAGACTGCGTTCATGTGTCTTTTAGTCTCAGGGATTCTACCACACATTTGTAATATCTGATAAAATATTCTATGCACATTTATAGAACATTTATATAGTAGGTCATTCGAATATGTTAAAAGCATATTATGGACATATATAGTGTCCAAAAATTTTCTTCCAATCGCTCGTGTAAAGGTAGAACGGGTTAAACTGAATAGAAAAGTCCTCTACTATTATGTAAATAACCGCAAAATTGCGAATTATTAATGATTAAGAAAAGCTAAGTAATAACTTGCTAAGTAAAAATTTGCGTGTTATTTGCGAGATAGTACAGAATTGTTTGTTCAGATAGTCTAATCTACAAGTATACGACAGCTATTGTACATAGCAGCAGACACTAGTGCGAAGTTTAAACTTCGAACTGTGAACCTGTCGCTAGATACGAGCGACTCTGAGCAAAAAAATTCTCTAACATTTTGCAAATAAAAAGTAAATTTTTGAATTATAATTGAAGGTAATCTCCATTTTCCATCATTAACAATTCGAAATTTTTCATGATTGCAAAATGGGAGAGGACTTTTTTGTTTAGTTTAACTCGTCCCATTTTCACATTGAAAAAAGTTTCGGCTATCTTGTATGATGAATATGTAATATCTATGAATACATCTATAAATATATAAATATTAGTAGAATATTCATAGAATATTCCTATTTGACTTTAAGAAACACGTGTAAAAAGAATCGCTTTTAGTTGCGAATATCTTAGCTTCCGAATGGTCAACCTTCTTCAAACTTTTCAGACGTGTAGGTAGTACATTCATTAACACACAGAGAAGGTTTCTTCAGATTCAATATTTCTATTTGACTAAAATTTATTTCATAGAAATGACATATACAAAATATTATTTGTTTGAATAAAAACTTGATTGTCTCATTCAAGAAAACTCTATTATTAACAGAAAAAACGTTATTATTTGAAATAATATCTTTCGACTAAATAAAATATTATTTGGCTACAATAAATATATAAGATGAAACAAGTAATTTGTTTATAAGAAAATTATTTTTCGCTTCAAACAAATTTTTTATTTAAGATAAAGATACGTATTCGTTGAAAAGTCTAACAACCGCACTTATTAATCGAAACATTAGCTTCTTTTGGAGCATGCCAATGATGAAATTTGTTTGGATGCGATAGAATTGATTAAATCCGAAGAAATATTTTTCTCAGTGCATGCAGCTGAAATTTAAAGGTTCTTAAAGAGAAGAAAATGATTTTATGGACCAATTACCTCAACGATAACATGCTTATTAACGCGTCCTCCCGCGGCCCCCCGGCGGATCGACAACATTCGATATCCGCGCGGTGTGTCGTGCGACGCGCACGCGGTCAAGCAGCCGGCTATCTAAGCTTTTTGCAGCTGCTCAAATTGTTTAGTAACCGGCCGGCCGGTTGTTCCGCCGAAGAGCGTTAAGCTTTTCCTCGCGGATAATTTAGCGCGTCGACGGGCGCCGTCGCGTCACACGACGCTGTGATCATCTACCTCGACGACTCGCCGCTACAGGATTTACCGGGGCTTAATAACGGCACAATGATGCGTGTCAAGGATTTAGTTTGCAGCACATCGGCGTCGGTGATGTTATTATAAAATCCCGTGAGAGGACGAGTCCGTTCTCATCGGGCCGGCGGCGAGCGAGAGAAAGAGAATGAGAGAGAGAAAGACGCCCGGAATTTCTCGCGCGCTTTGTATTGTTCGCCGCTCGCGCGGGGGGAATTGCGTAAAAACGTCAGTCCCTATCTGCATCTCGTATTTTTAGATGCGTGCGCGAGAGAGCACGTGTCGATTTGACATCAGCGATATTCAGGATGTACTTATGCGAACGATACCGCTTTCAGAGATGAGAACGGGCGGCTTCGTCCCGAAAGCAAGGATGCTCGGTTCTCACCGCGAGGATACAGTACACCGGCGAAGGGAATGTGCCTCGGCCGCATACATCTTCGCGAGGCGATGCGTCGCGACTGTCGCTGACTTAGATCGGATCGGTGTATTGGAATATACGCGCGCTCTTTCCTCTCGGCGTCGCTACCTTGCGCGAAGTGCCAGTATTGCGCTCGACATCGCGCCGTGCGGATCCGTCGGGTCATTTTTTAGGGATCATCGCTTCTTTTCCGCGATATAGCCGACTTTATCTTAAGCCAGAAAGGTGTGCCGAGTTTTCCCTTTACTTCGATTCCCTCTCCCAGGAACTTGTCCTCTCTCATTTATTATCCTGCGGATTAATACCGCCCAAGCGGTATCGTCGGTGTGCGCTCCGAGCCGTTTTACTCGCGAGCTTCGAGGCAAAACCGAGTGTCGTCCGATCAGAATTAGTTCGATATCTCGTTAAACTGTAATTTCGAAGATATCGGGCGGTTCGCAAACAAGTAAGTTATATTGTATGACATTTCGTGTGACCTCCGCCATCAACGCGATTTACGCGTATACAACGTTGAAAAAGACGCGAAAAACGAACTCATCGATGGGCACAGTGAAAGAAAGGATTTGCTAATAAGTATTAAAATTCCGTGAATATTTCCCGACGAAATATTTGATTGTGGCAATAAAATAATTTATTTCCGTATACTACTATAATATATTATTTAATATTATTTTTATTATCACTTCCGTATACTATTTAATGTTATATTATATTAAATTAATTTATATTAATTTCCGTCGGAGTATACTAAATATAGAATATACGGAACTATAGTACTACAGAACTACAGTATACTGAGTAGAAGAAATTGAAATTTTGCGAAATAAATGTTTCTTGTGACATTTTCTTTCTATATTTATTAGTTAAAATTGGACTATGATGACGGAATATATATTTTTGCGAAATATATCTAAGCTTTCTTATCAGTTGGCTTATTTGCTAGGAAAAAAATGTTATTTCGCCGTATTTAAATAAACGTTTATTTCTAACATCTGAAACAAACCTTATATTTCACAAATAAATTTGTTTTCTCAATGTACACACGGAACTGAATTATTTGATTGCAGTAATGAAGTATTTGATTGGCAAATACTTACTAAATTTTAATAATTATTATCAAATCCTTTTTTCAATTTAAGTTCTTGTTTCACTGAAAGAGAAAAATGTTAATTCGAGTAAATATTTGCCAAGGAGTGTTGGAATAATTATTTTACTTAGATTAAGTAAATATTACTTGAATGTTGCACACCGAAAGAAAAAAAGTGCTACATTCAAGTAATATTTACTTAATTTAAGTTGAAATAATTACTCCAATAGCAAAAACTTAGCAAATATTTACTTGAATGTAGCACTTTTTTCAATGTAAAGAAAACGTGTTAAGAACCACTGATGCTACACACCTATCGTCAACGAATCGTACCTTAATTGATACGTATAATTGATTGTATATTAATAATATCTTTATATTAATTATTCGTAGCATTGTATTAAAACGCGAATTACTAATTCGTAAGTTTCTTTCAGTAAGTTTCCCAGAGAGAGATTGACTAGAAGGTAACAGTAACCTGACCTTGAATACTAAACCTGACTTGAGTCTAAATGTCTTTTTGTCGTGTCTCATCGATCGTTGAAGAGACTATTGCACAAAAATATTGGGAATTCGTTGAGAGAATACGTTTTTCGGAAAGTCACTACGTTGTAAAAATCGTCGTGTTTCTCTATTCTTCTCGCTCTCGCAAATATTTTACACACAAGCCGAGAAGAAAGTCGTAATTGATTCATGCATTACAGTCTATTTCAATCGCACGATTAGCATTCTCCCGCATAAAATGTAGAGTACGACGACGAAAAGTAATCAAACGGCGTACATAAATATTCGATAACAACGCGGTTTTTCCTGTAACGACATAATGGATGCGGCTCATTATGCGTACTATCGATAGAGTTATTTTTGCCTTACGTCAGATAAATACACATTTTCACTCACAAGGATTTTTGTTACGTATGAATACACATTATTCCACCGTTCTCCGTCGATTAAGCGAGAAACGTGCTAACAACCGGAAATGATAATTCGTTTTTTTAATAACATTCTAGCATAATATATTAATTGGAATATTCATTTCCGCGACGATAATTCGTACGTTCTCGTTGTGTTCAACGTCAGTCGGTGTACTTTTTGTTATGTGTCAGCCGGTCCGTTGTTGTGATTTTTGCAATGCAAAAAGAATTCGCGCCGATAACATGATGGAAACGATAAAGCGACGCACCGTATCACCTTCGACGCTGCGATGTAAGCGCTATTCCGCTCGATTATACGCTCGAGACCTGCCTTATCAGATTGTTTTGAAAACCAATTGCGGCATGGACGCAGTGTGACATTTCTTGAGTCTTTACCGTTTCGCGCGAGATTGCGTATTGGCAGGCACGATCGACGCGTCACGGAAGTCAAGACGTAATGCTCGCACTTTAGAGAAGACGATATGTGTGTTATTGCTCGCGTTAGGTGAAAGAATACCTACGAGATTTGATCAGGCAGATTCTTCTCCCTTCTCTCACTCTTCCTTTTTCGACCCCTGTAGCGATAAGTTAAGTCTTATGTAATAAAAGTCTTATATAAGTTAAATCTTGAGTTAAATCAAAGCTCATTTATATTTTTCCTTCTTTTATGTATCGTCACGAATAACAGGTCATTTAAAAGTTCTGTAGGCCTTATGTAATTTTTAACGATAGTATCCTTATTGTCGTTTCGCAGGTATAATATATGGTAGAAAAGCTGCGCAAACAACAATGTCGTTAAAATGTACAAAATAAAGCTATTAGTCTCTCATTGCAAGTGTTTGGTTTTATGATATTAGAAATTAAAAAATGCAAGATTCTTGCGAAATATTTTGAAATAAAAGGACACGTGTATTGACACTTACGATCGATTGAAGGCACATTTATGAAATGTTCTGAAAACTTTTCTTTTATTCTAATAATCGATAAATATCAACATTAATATGACACGCAACCTTTCTTGTTAGCTCTCTCTCTTTCTCTCTCTCTTTCGCTCCCTTCCACCCTTCCATCCCGTCCCCCTCCCCTCTCCCATTCTCTCTCTCTCTCTTTCTCAATCGATCACAAGTATCATTTTATAGACAAATCTTTTTATTTCAATATATTTCGTACGAATTTTAAGCGTGTGTTTTCTCACTTCTAACATCATATTTTTATAATCTTCTTTTATATAATAATAAACTTATTATTATTATTATTATCATTAATCAAGATGATTGCGACGAGAAAACAAAAAAGCCTTGAAATAAGTCGGTACTACCAAAGTCGAAGCCGCTCTTGTATATTCTTTTTCACGTGTATTTTTTTCCTTATCGTAACCAGTAATTATTTAATGTTCGTAGTTACAGAGACCATAAACGTTCGTAGTTAATGAGACCATAAACATTTTCCGAAAGATTCTCCGTACGTTCGTAACCTTTAGTCCGTAGCATGTGTCGAACCTTGAATGGAGAACGTGTTCATCCTGCATTATTGACACAACTAATTTTCGCGGTTAAAGAAGATGATTAGAAAAAGACGCAAAATATTAGATGCTTGAATTAATTCTCGCTGTTTTTTGTTACAAAAGCTCATGTTTATTTCAAAAGAATGGTATATTATATTTTATTCAATGTATTGTCCTCCGGAAGCTGCAATCTTTTCCCATTTTTCGGGTAACACATGAATTCCGCAGTAGAAAAATTCAAGTTTCTTCGAGGCAATCCAGTCATCGAGCTAGTTTTTTATATTTTCGAAAGAACTGAAGTGCTTCTTAGAAAGGCCATGCTGCATCGACCGAAACAAATGGTAATCTGAAGGAGCAACGTCTAGTGAATGGGACGGATAAGACATCCAATTTAAGTGCCTCCAAGATTTCCTTCACTGGTATTGCAACATGTGGTTTAACATTGAGAAAAATAAATTTGTCATGTCTTTTGGCGTATTGCGGGCGTTTTTCTTTGAGTGCTCGATTCAAATTGAGTAATTGTCGTCGGTAGCGTTCAGCATTGATGGTTTGACTCGATTGCAGCAGCTCATAATACACTACACCGACTTGATCCCACCGAATGCACGCATGACCTTCTTTCCATGAATATCCTGTTTTGGCGTTGATGATTCGCCTGGACGCACCCATGATTTCTTGCGTTTAGGATTGTTGTAACGAATCTATTTTTCATCGCCAGTCAAAATTCGATGCAAAAACGACTTCCGTTTTTGTCTTTGAAGCAATAATTCACAAATGGTTAAACGTTTCGCAATGTCTCTTTCTTTCAATTCATGTCGGACTCAGTTTCCCAGCTTCTGAATCCTTCCCATTGTCTTTAAACGTTTGCTAACGATTAACTCATTGGCATTTAGTGTTTCCGACAACTCTTTGAGCGTCTGACATGAATCTTTTTCCAGTAATATTTCCAATTCTCTATCTTCAAACTTTTTCGGCTGATCAGGGCGCTCTTTGCCATTCATGTCAAAATCGTTGTCTTTGAATCATCTAAACCAGTCTCTGCAAGTTATTTCAGATAGAGCATGCTCCCCATAAGCTTCCACTAGCAAACGATGACTTTCAGCAGCAGATTTCTTGAGATTAAAGTAGAAAAGTAATGCTTCCGGCAAATGCTCTTTTTTGGTACAAAACCAGACATCTTTAATGCAATAAAAAATTGTATTCTTAGCATTACGGTCTAATGTCACACGCTAATTATTAAAACCTATTAACAGTACTTTCATATACATCAACAGTCACCTTCGGCCATGTTAAAATAGCACAAGTGCTGACCTTTATTAGTCAACAGAGAGAATTCGAGCACCTAATAATATGTGTCCTTCCGGAGGAACGTTTTTTCAACCTGTGCAATTTGGATGAAAAATGTCGAAGAATATCTAATTTTGAAATCGTCGAAATCATTTAAATTCGCCGATCTTAAGTATCGATGTCGAGCACGCTTATAAATATAGAAAAAACGATTTGGTAACAATTACCAAGATTTGTTTAAGTAATTTCAATTAAATCGATTCAAATAAATTTAGTTACTGTAACCAAATCATTTAATACCGCATATACTGTACTATAATATCATATGCTATATACAATATATAAAATATATATAATATATGCAAATAAAGTACTAAATAATTTGTTGCAGTAATCAAACAAATTACTTTAAACTCTTTAACCAAATCTTGGTGATTGTTACCTAATGCCTTTTTCAATGTAGATGCGCGATGAAACAGCATGAAACAATATTTTAATTCATTGGGTCGAGCTAATGCGTGCAGTGACTTTCGAGTATTCGCATATTTGAGGTATTTAGAAACACGCTGGATGAATTCATTAGTTGTTTCTAACGTTGACGTTTCTTCGCGGTCTGCGAGTTTCGCGAGCGCGACGAAAAAAGTATTTGTTAATAATTAACTAAAATTTATCCTCGAGATCGATTTCTTAGACAATTTCTCAGGCGCGAGTAATTGTCGTGTTAATACAATTTTGTGACGATTAACCGCGCTCGTATTAATCCGATTTCGTCGATGTGTCGATATTTGCCAAATATTTGATTACTGTAAACGAATAATTTGTTTCCGTATACTGTATACACAATACTAGTAGTTCTCTATATTATATATTTAACGTACGGAACTAAATTATTTGGTTGCAGCAATCAAATATTTGATCTGCAAGTATTTACAAAATTCTAGTATTCGTTACCAAATCCTTCTTTCAGTGTAGACATTATTTTCCACGGAGACATTTTCGAGAAGTCGTGATTCATTTTCGAACCAATTCAAGAGAGAGAGAGTGAGAGAGAGAGAGAGAGAGAGAGAGAGAGAGAGAGATGAAGGCAAATGGTTAATGCTCGGTCACTTCCGCGAGGTCCGTCGATGTACGAGTTATGCAATTAGAACGGTAATGGTCTCCTCTCTCAACGCTAACAACAACCGGCAATTTCGCGTTAATTATTGTATGCTCTGTCTCGTAATTCGCGATATAAGAACGATACCAAGGTGTTCACTCACGAGGATAGAAGAGGTGCGTTGTGGGGAGAGAAACAGCGATAAAATCGTTCGGTCGCGAAACTATTCGCTCAGACACGAAATCGCACACGAATTCGACACACCGGCGAAATCGGATTAATCCAATCGTAATTTCATTAACACAACGATGACTCGCGCCTGAGCAATTGCGGCAAATCGATTTTGAGGATAAATATTTGTACATGTCGGCACGCTCCCTTTCTCTCTTTCTCTCTCTCTCTCCCGTCGAACCTTTTACGAATTTAATCCCACCGTCGGAAGTGACGACGACGCACGGTGTGTACGCGCGCCGACGTGGAATGTATTATAAAACCGTTATGTAAAAGTCGTGACATTCGTATTGACAGCGGCGTTTTATGCCACGGTCATTGGATTTCTGCATCGGCATGGCCGGCCAAATTAATGGGTCACGTTGCTGCGCGCAAGAGAGAGAGAGAGAGAGAGATAGAGGCCGTGTCATCGCGAATGATTCGAATTCGAGATTGCGAGACATCGCTCTCTCGCTCTCGAAAATCGCTCGTACCGGCGGAATTTTCACAATTGTTTGCAGGCAGAGACACGAGAGAAGCGGTGAGCGGTGACGATTCGTTTGCTCGCGTGCGCGCGCGCGACGGAAATGTGCACGATACAGACTGAATACTTCACGACCAATTAATCGCCCGCGAACTGTGCACGCGCACACGCGAGGACACGCCAAGATGTTAATGCTGAAGAGCTGCTTCAGAAGGATCAGCAAGGACTTCCGGCATAAGGAGCTGATGCCTCTGAAGTTGATATTTTTCGTGCAGGCGTCCAGTGAGTAACCTTGATTGACTGACGCTCAAATTGCGGCAGCGCGCGCTTCTCCACTCTTTTTGCACAGTGACCTAAGATATTTCCAAATCTCATTTTTTTTAAATTTCACCTCAAGTTGTAAATGCAATTTTATGGTATCCTACGATCAGATTATTATGAATTGTTAATATTTATGTTTTTGTTTCTCATCGGTAAACGTGACGCTAAAAATATTGCTTATTCAAAGGTAACCTTTAGTCATATCTGTCACGCTGTCAACATTGGCTATATATTATATTAATTTATAAATAATGATTGTATTTATTACAGTATATATAATGTATATATTATATATATACATTATATTGTATATATAATGTATATATTATATACATTATATATATTTAATACATAAAAGAACCTCGAATGCCTCGAAGTAAGTAATTTCACATTTTGTTGTGTTTTTCTTATTTCCGAAGTAAGTTAATCACATTTATGGTTAAAGCAAGCGTAACTTTACAATAGAAAAGTATTTTTTTGCTAATAGCTCAGGGAAGGTTTTTTTAAGAATTTCTAAAAGTTTCTGAAAAAGAAACTAAATGTGTGTAATGATTGTCAAAATTATATTTGTTTTACGTCTTTTGAAAATAATTTTCTTTTTTTAAATCTGTATAAAATGTCCTACTGAACTCTGAATAAGGTTTAAAGAGAATCAGAAAATAAAAATACTCGGCTAAATGGTGTAAAACTCTTTGTTTAAAAATATCACAAAAGAAAAAATAATGTACCGTTTAGATGAAAATATTCAAGTAAATTTATATTTAAGAAAATCTAATTATTTTGTATTTGCCTAAAAAGAAAGCGAGATAAATATTGAATCATTTACAAACAGTTACTCTTCCCCTTTTAAAACATTTTGTGTACACAAGAAAAAAGTACTAAAGTTCTCAAGTAAATAATTACTCCAATATTCTTTAGCAAAGGTTTATTTGGATTAAGTAAATTTTATTTGGATCAAATAAATATATATTTTGTAAATTAATTATTTCATCAGATAATTATTTCATCGAATTCAGAGATTTGATCAAACATTTTTACTACCAAACCAATGTACTTTGTTCGCGTTCGGCGAATACAACGGTCGAGTCATTGACTTCTGGAAAATGGATATGACTGGAATGAAACCTAACAATACTACCGCCGATCATAGATAATTTTTTTCTCAATGATTCGTACAATCGTTGCGTTCGCCGAATGCAACAATCTTTATCCGCGGTTAACTGACGTCCGAATGAGACGTCAGACGCAGAATCCTCCGGCGGGATCTCGCATGCCTCTGGCGTAACAACGAAAACGAATTTCATGGTCTCGCTATAGCGCTCTACGTGCTGTATCCGTACCTGACTATACACATGAGAGAACTGGGAATAAACGTGGAAGAGACCGCGATAATGAGCTCCATCACTCCTCTCGTGGCGATGGTGATGCCGCCGCTCGCCGGTATGTTGGCCGATCGAATAGGAAACTTCAGGGTAAGTGAACCTCCGAAGTAAATTGACTTTCGCAATGCCGCACGCGAGCGTATAATGCGAGGGTTGATTCTTTTCGAGGTGGATCGTTCGCGCAACACGTTGCGCAAAAACTTCTCTCTCTCTCTTTCTCTCTCTCTCTCTCTCTCTCTCGTTTCTTCTTCTTTTATCGCTTTTTTCCTTTACGTTATATCGTCGTGCGTTTAACTTTTTGAATGCCGTGGACGCATATTTGCGGTGTTCGGTAACTGTCATCTATTTCACTGAAATGGATTGGAGGATCATGGCCCATACACAATTGGCCGCACTCTTTCTTTGATTTGCACAGCGGATTCCATTAATGCTGTCTTATTCCTTAGGCATAATGATTTCAGAAACTTCCAATCAAAGTATCGATCGCATAACTTTTCCCCTAAGGCGAAAACGTAAAAAATGAAAGGTGAAATATCTTCAAATTATAAAATTTACACTTTTCACGAATTTACACTAGAAAAGAAGATTTATGACCTCCACGAGGTTGATCATGAATTTCCTCCTCTAGCTTGAATTCGCGAAAAGTGTAAGTTTTCTAATTTAAAGATTTATTTCACTTTTTTGTCTTAAAATTTTTGTCTTAAAGGAAGAGTTACGTAATTGATACTCGTTGAAGAAGAATTATTTGTGCATTATTAATGTTGATAATTTAGTGAATCGGCAATGATTTTCCAAAACTACAGTCATGATGCACAAATATTAAAAAATAACGCACGTAATTGGAAATTTTCAATGTTACTATGCCTAGAGAATGGGACAGTATTGAAGGCCTTCACATATGGATTGCCATAAGCAGTAAGACTTATCCCCGATTCCACCAATTCCGGTTAACCTAATTGGCCGATTAACTCAACAGAATTGACCAATCACATGGATCAGTTAGCTAATTGAACAATGCGATTGGTCAATTCCGTTGAATTAATCGGTCGGCTAGGTTAACCGAAGTTGATAGAATCGGGAGTTAAGCAGTAAAGAAATTTACTAATAAATCAATATATTTCTTTCGATTTACGTATTCCAAAAGACGATAACCTTAAGCAGAAGTAATTTGGATTTCAATCGGTTGAAATCCTAGTGATTTCTTTGCTTGAGGTCAAACTTATCGTCACTTCTATTGTCTTTTACATAACGAATATGTAAACCTAAAGAAATATACTGATTGGTTAGTCAATTTCCTTACTGCTTAAGTCTTATTATTTACGGCAATCCATGTGTGAAGGCCTCAATGGGATCTGCTGTACGGAATAATCCTATCATTATAATTAGAGTTACTCATATAATTTTCTGTTTAGAGAAGAATACAACATACCTGACCCAACTGATTCTCGATACAAGCGACAGTTGTTAATTGTTACGATAGAATTCTTATACACAGAACAAAGAACGTTCTTGGATCAACAGGATTTCCAACAGCGCACGTAATTGGAATATTCTCGGATAGATAGAGCGGGTCTTTAAGAGCCGCGGCTCTTGTAGCGATGTAATATTTTTTATTTCGCGGAGGAATATATAAATGTGGATATAAATACAAATAGATATATAAATATAAGTTAAAATGGATGTGAAAAATAAGAAATATGATTGGGATTCGTTTAGCGTGAAAGGTAAATTCATCACATATGGTTATGTATATGTTTCCGGAGGATGATCTGATACGTGTGTTATTACATGCGTTTTATATTCTTGCATAAAATAAAAAATATTATATCGCTGCAACAGTCGTAATTAAGTTTTTAAGACCTGTCTCATCTTCCTTTAGTTTATAACCTTAGAGCTGATATAAATATGTAGTAAAATAAAGTAATATATATATAATTTATATAAATATAAATATATTTATATAATGTTATATAACTGTATATTTATACGTATTATACGTATATATAACTAATTATATATTATTATAATATATAAATATGTTATATTTATTATATTTATATAAATATAAATAAATATAGTTTCTTGCTAAATCTACTTAATCCAATATCGCTAAAAGTAACATATCATGTGTCGTTTCTCAATAACTCATGTATTAGTTTAAACATCGCTATTGAATTAAGATTTATTCCTACGCCGTTGGAAATTCGATCGATATAACAGCATTTATTCTCCATGTATCCTTTCGATTTTTTTTTTCACTTTAGTGACGGCGAGACAAATAAGACTTCATTAGTCTCGGTTCATCGCGCTTTCCGCTTTCCCGAGCAGTTATTTCTTTCACCGGTTGACACGCGACGATCCAGCGTACTACGTCCTCAGCGATCGTTTAGCGCGCCGAACTACTACTCTTCACTCAAAGAGTTGTAATCGCGCGTCGCGCTTCTCGCAATAATGATTAATCAGATTTGATTTTTTTGGCAAATTTTCCTTTTGGCAGATTGTACTGTCGGTGTTTTCCGCATTCGGCGGTTTAGCGGCGTTATTACTGTTGCTGGTGCCGATCGGCAGGGTGACGGTACAATTCCCAGAGAGGATAGTTATGGACCTCGATTGTCAAGACGAAGGCGGTCCGTTACTCTACACAATGAGCCAGGCTTATCCGTGCGAGACAAAATTAGAGCCGGAGATCGCCGTTACGGTAGAGAGTTGCGGGTGAGTAAAAAGCTGAGTTACACGTCGACGTAGTTGGCCGATAATCCGTTCGGATTTACGAGAACGGAATAACGGGCGGTTTCGCGAATTTCCATTTTGTTTCACGCGATGTATCCGCGGAAATTCCGGATTAGGAGCGATACTTCATGCTCGTATATTCGCATCACCGTCAATGACAACGCACGGAAGACGGCGTGTCGAGGAAGACACGGATCACGAACGGTAATTTCGCAGGCAATCGCGACAAAAAGCTTTAACGCGCGCACACACACATGTACATACGTGCGTAAACATACATACGTACACGAGCGGTTTCGTCTTCCTGTTTGTTTCAACTTATGTGCGAACGATGTTCCACGAACTCGAATTTCTCGTAACTTTGTTAGAACGAGACTTCAATTACGGAAGTTTCATTGCGCATTCGCTGAATCGCGATTGACGCGTTTTTTATTTCAATCGAGCCGCCTGCCTAAAAATATATTGATAAATCGTTGTTTGAAACTTGCCTCAAATGAGATAACCAGATTTGAATGTAGAATTAGTTGCAAGTTTCAGCTGAAATCGCAATTACAAATATAACGTCGCGTACATATGATTCAATTGAAAAACTCAAATCTAATTCTAAATTCAGATCTGAGTATCTGACGTGAGGTAAGTTTCAAGTAACGTTTCAAGTATTAAGACGAGAATTAAACTCATATTAATAGTCGTTACTTGAAACTTGCCTCAGCTAAGATACCCAGACTCGAATTTATATTCTAATTAATAGTCGTTATTTGAAAATTGCCTCAAGTGAGATACTCAGATTTGAATTTAGAGTTAGACGTGAGTCTTTCAGCCGAATTTTGTGCTCACACAAATGTGACGTTGCATATATTACATAATTCAAATAAAAAACGCAAATATAGCTCTACATTTAGATCTGAATATCTCACGTGAAATAAATTTTAAATAATAATTATTAATATGAGTATAATAATTATTAATATGAGTCTCAGAATTAAACGTGAGTTTCTCAGTTCAATTGCGATTATGTAAATGTAATGTCGCATATATGACGGTGAGTCATTTTAATTTTATCAAATAAAAACCTAAAATATATTTTTTCATAATTAATTGAACAAAAGGGGTACACTCTATCATTTTTTTATGTAGTCTTCATTGCGTTCAACATAAATCTTCCAGCTCTTGCTAAGTGCATAGATTTTCTCTAGAGAAAAATTCTTGTGATCACGTGCGCAGTCACTCGTGCACCACCTGTTGCATCTCTTCATTGAACCTAAAAGTCATTCCTCTTCTAACTTCTTTAAATGGTCCAAAGATAGCAAACACTAGGGGCGAAGTCCGACGAGCATTGTCATGTCATTAAGTATTATCATTGAGCATTATCACTGTCATTGAACATTGTCATTGGTAATAAACCGCCATCTTGTAGGACAATGGTAAGGTGTTTTGAATTTTCTTCACGATTTTAAAGTTTCCACTTAACTCACCCTTGTTAATACAATTATATAATTCAAACAAGAAACTCAAATCTAATTTTAAATTCTACAACGAGAAATTCAAATTTCATTCCAAATTCAGACCTGAATATCTCATGTAAGACAAATATTTCAAGTAACGACTACTACTCTCCAACATCAACGATTTTTTCATCACGCAGATTTGTGTGTCACGTGGAGACGAGCAACGAGACAGATCGGGATTTAATTCTGAAATCGAGGGTTTATACGGTCAAGCATTACAATCTGCGGACTGGCGCTAATACTACGTACAAATACATCGTTCCACAGAACGACCTGCCAGCGGTACGTTACACGTTTGCACGCTACATGTGTGTTAACGGGTTGTCTCTCACGCTGGAGACACATTTTCTAAAATCGAATAAGCTAGAAGGCTAGAAGGCAGACATTGCTCATCGCGTGTGAGAGAAGAATTTTAGTGCGCGACGAGTATATTATTTCCGTGACATCGCTGATGAACGTATTGTCGCATTGTAATCATCCGCAGAATATTGGCCAGCACGAGGACATGAAAGAACACCGGCAATTGAAGAACAACGAGTTTTTCAAGACTTCCATTCGACAGATTTCGAGAAGTCACTACTTTTTTCCGACGGATCAGCTATATCAGTTCTCATGTATACCGTCGGAACATGCGGAAGATGCTGATAAAGTTGCGATCGACACGTTGCACGGAGCGTACGGAAATCGTACTTCCTGCACGTTGAGTCATTTGATCAAGCTGAAGGTATGAAGAGAGACTAACGTGGTACACTGAGAAAAGAATTTGGTAACAATTACCAAAATTTTGAGAATATATTTCAACCAAATATTTGATTGCTGCAACCAAATCATTTAGTTTATACTGTATGCAGTAGGGGAAAACGAGGTAATGGCGGTCACCTGAGCAAAAACTCTCATAAGACTAATAAGAAATGTTGGATTCAGGATCTGCTTAATGCAATGGATGTTTACACGTGTTTACTATAATATAGATTGGTATAAAAAATTCCATAAAAATATATACCAGAGAGACAAATGGAAAAGCAAAAAGTGAAATTTGACCGGGATCACCCCATCCTCGGGGTAATGCCGGTCAGCGATGTTTACAGTGTATAAAACCAGAGGAGGCACATATTTCACTGAAATTCAAACATATTTATTAAAGAAGGGATATGACAAAAGTTTTGTATGTAATATCTTGAAGAAATAATCAATTGTTTATTGATTTGTATCCATCGCAATGATACTCATCGGGAGTGTCCCACACGGAAGAAAAATTAATCTTAAATCAAGAATAGATATTATCATATATAAGCAGGAATATTATAATCTTCTTGGAAGATTTTTAGTCTTGAATCGAGTTCAAGTAATACTTGTATCAATATAAATTCAAATCAAGATTAAAAGTCTCCTAAGAAGATTATCATATTCTTGCTTATACATGAGAATATTTATTCTTGATTTAAGATTAATTTTTTTCCAATTAATGCAATTTTTGTGCACTCAAAGTCCGCAAAACATGCAGCGAAACACATTTCATTATTTCTCCCAAATTTTCCACCAAGAAAACATAACTCTTAATCTTAGTCACTCCAACACCGACTGGATGGCATTACTAAATACATATTTTTACAAATAGACTAACTACGTTATAACGAACCATCAATTTAGAAAACCAATATTCCTATTGTATATTAGAAGATTTGAGTGACATTGCAGAAAATAGTGTAATAATTTAGCATGAATAAATGTACAACTTTCTGAATCAAAATTTTAATCCTACTTTAAGTCTAATTCAGTCCTGCATTAAGTGTTCAAGGGTCTTCTATTGTGCTCCTTCAGTGCTACAAACGAGGAAGTTATTGTCGTTTTCTTCATTTGAGGACTTAATGTAGAACCAAGATTTAGGTCCTGAACAACTAAATTCCCTGTACAGCATTAAAAGAGTACTTATTGCGCTCCTTTGATGCTACAAGGAATTTATTTCTGTCTTCTTCACTTGAAGATTTAACGTAGAATTAAAATTTCGACTCAGGTTACCACGCTTTAGCAGCGATCCTCGTATTAGAAAACGACGAAAACAACTTTTCGCAAAAGCCACGAACAATGCTAAGATAGCGGTGTTTTGTTTAATACTTTCTTCGGTTCTCCATAGAGGACAGAAACTTACAGAATTCAAATCATATCGACCACAGTCGAGATATAGGGGCGACCGGCATTACCCACTGACTGGTATTACTCTATTCTTCCCTATATGGTACACGCGAAACAAAATAATTTGGTTATGAAACATTTCGTTGAAACACATTCTTCTTACCAAATTCTTCTTTCAGTGTAATATGATAGCAACACGCGAATCAGATATGTCTCATCGTTTTCCAGAATAACGTCAGTCGAACGATAAACCATTACTCGTACAAATCGAAGATCAAGAGTCTGCCGTTGAACGAAGAAGATCGGCAGGAGGAACGGCAAAGGTACCTGGCGGAGGAAGTGTCCTTGTCAGGGGAAGATTTTCGAAAGCTTACCTGCGACAACCCGGCTTCTACGGATAACCGAGTCGCGATAGACACGCGGTTCGACAATCACAGTGTAAATCCGGAAAGCAAGCGAGTCTTGAGCACGAACGAGTGTAGCAAAAGATGTATAGTTACTGTGCTTCGCAACGCGATGTGCTCCAATATGAACATGGAGATCGAATACAATGTAAGCTTGACGTTCTGGCTTTACCTCGTCATTAGGGTATTCATAGGTCAGTACACGATGCTTCGACGTTTCGCGACTGTCCTTCGGGATAAAGATCTCTCTAATCAAGTCTCGTCTTGATTATCGCGCGCGGTTATTGTTGCTCCGACTCAAAGCGAGAACCTTGCAACGCCGTTTAAAACTTCACCGTCCTTCTCTTCTTTCCAGGTATTATCGGCGGCACGACTTTCGCGATGTTCGAAGGCGCCGTGATAGCGATATTGCGGGAGCAGGAGGCGGATTACGGCCTTCAGAGAATTTACGGTAGTATAGGAGGCATGATCTCCTCGCCCTTATCGGGCCTTCTCATAGATTACGCCAGCAGAGACAAGGGATACACCGATTTCAGGTAATTCGATCGCGACGACCCTTGCGCGATTTTTACGCAACAGCAGCGGCATTGCAACTCTCAAGAGAATCTTCTCTTTCAGACCGGCGTTTTATTTGTACGCGGCATTGAAACTCGCGTCGGGTTTTCTCATGCTGCTGATCAACTTGGAATTCAAAGCTCCGGCTAGAAATGTCGTGCGCGACGTCTTTATCGTCTTGCGAAATATCGAGACCGCCGCGCTCTTCCTCGCCTGTTTCGTTCTCGGTGAGTGTTTCTGAACTGTCTTCGATGCATGATTATAGCAAGTGTACAATTGTGGGTGAAGAACACAAGGAAAATGTTCGAGTCTCCCGTTAATTGGCGCGTTTTCATCGCGTCTTTAACACGTTGAATGCCGTGGGGATCACCGGTGACCCCGGCACGTGCAACATTGCCGCGTCTCGTTGAGTTGCGTATGAAATATAATTAATTGCACCCACAAACTGGGATGTACGGCCATTGATTAAAGAGCCAATGAGACAAAGTAAGAGATATATGTGCTGTGAATTATATTTATTTACTATATCTTTAGTGATTTTTTGAAATCATTAGTTTCGAACAACATAAACCGTCATATTGTCTTGAACCCAACAAACACAAAGTGACAGTTATATAAATGTTGTAATTTCCTAATAATATAACTGTTGTAATTTTCAATAATATAACTGTTATATAACACACGCGTTAAATAACAATTATATTATTGAGTAGGAAATTACAACTAACATTTGCAGTCCCTGGTCGTATTATTAGACGCATTTTGTTTTTTTAATAAAATATAGATTAGAAGGAGAAGGAAGCTAATAATTTTATGTTTATTCGATGGACAAAAACATTTTTTTTTCCTAACATTCAATAAGTCTTAATAATCAATAAATAGCTACAGTCCCTGTTCATATTATTGGACGCACCTTAATTTTTTACAATTCATTGACTGCCGAGGATCAGCTTTATAATATGGCTTATTTATCGACCGAATTATGTTAAGGAATTATTCTATAAAAGGTATTTTTTATGACGTCATTTCACTTGGCTGTTATAATGACTTTGAACAAATATGAACCCGCGCTAGATCCATTGTTGATAATAACATACGTGTTTTGAGTGTGTGTCAATTGAAGTTGAATTTTATTTTTCTTTATTTGTGAAACTTCAAATTCCTTGCTACGAAAAAATAAATTTTCGTGCGTAAAATATTAATATTGTTTGCAAAAATTATAGGTAAAACAAGTGATTTGACATCTCAGAACGTTGCAGAGGTAAAAAATTCGAATTCTCACAAGTGTCTTTAAGCTATCTCGAGTGTTGTTTTATTCAAATATCTCTTTATTTGCAAATGGCACGCAATATTTCTCAACGTGTCATTTCCAGTGAATCCAATAAAGCTGCGGCGACTATTCCGGAGCCTTAAGACGTTTTAAGAATTCTTCAAGGCATTCCGCATATGCTTTGGAAGATTTTGGAACACATCTTGTGTTATGTGGGATTAGATGTATGCAGGCTTGCGTAATAACTAAAAAAGTTATTCTAACTTAGTTAATTTTTGAGCGAGTTAAATTTCGAATAAACTAGCTACTCAAAATGCATTAACTTTACTTTATTAATTTTTTTTTCATAGAATTCGAATAAAATAATTCATTATAAAATAATTCATGCACACAATCGAGAATAAGAAAACTCGAAAATAATGTCAGCAAATTTTTTTTCGTTTCTCTGAATGCTAGTGTTCTTTTCTTGTATTGAATCCTGAGCACAGAACAATCGATATTTTCTTATAATATCTTTTCATTATTTCACATAAATTTTTAATCTACGATAAAAAGTTTATTTTTACAAAAAAATATATACACGCACAGTTGGCACAATTAAATCGAAAATTTAATTTAATTTAATTACGTTAATTACGCAAACCATGTGTGTGCCTTAATAGCATAATTTATTGGCGATACATTGGTCTAATATTAGTTATATTGGCGTTCATTGAATGAATGTTACTTAATATAAAGTTAGCCAAACGGCTAAACCTGCAGAAGCAGATTTTGCACAGTATCCTGCTATAAATTCTATCGATAACTTATTAGTAGAAATATGATAGGATTTGCAGAACCTGAAGAGCACGAGCGTGGTATAGTAGACAGCACACTGGTCTACTATACTTAGAGGTCCGAGGTTCGCATCTCGGTAGAACCAAAATATTTTCATACTCTCATGTCTCCTCTCCGATGGACCGGCAAATTACCGAGAGAGTATCTTTGCCACGAAAACCTCACTTAAACTGCCGTTTGGAATCGGCGTTAAATTCTCTGTAGGTTCTATATACTTATGTACAATCTGCTCGTGCACCACATAAGTATATGCGAGAACGAGGGTAAGCTCATATCCTACAAATGGCTGTAGCACCAAAGAAAGAAAGGAAGTGTCAAAACCTGATAATAGATCAATCTATTATTATGCTCTGTTAACAAATCCTATATTATATTTCTGCTAGCAAGCTATTAAAAAAACTTATGGGATACTACGTAAAATCTGCTTCTATAGGTTTGGTTATTTGGTTGACTTTATATTAGACAACATTCACTCAATGTACCCTCAAAAAAAAATATTAATATAAACAATATTAGACTAATGTATCCAATGTGCTAATGAATTGTGCTATTAGGGGGTACACACATGGTTTGCGTAATTAATTTTTATTTTTTCATAAGTTAATTTAATTTTAACTAAATTTTTAATTAGGTTAGCGCTTCTTTTTAAATAACACGTGTTATTTGCGTGACATTTATTTTTCCCAAGTTAATTCAATTTTAACAAAACTTTTAATTAGATTGAAGCTTCTTTTTATAAGTAACTTTTAGTTTAATTTAGTTAGAAATGAAAGTTAACTTACTCAACTCTGGACTTTTATACGGTTAATGGAAATCAGCGCGGCACTCAACGTGTTAACGCGTAACAACTCGGGCGAATTCGATTAAGCGGAATTTAATAAGAGAGAAAGGTCTCGATAGGCACCGCCTGGGGATACATCGAGTCGTTCCTCTTCTGGCTGATTCAGGATTTGGGAGGATCTAGATCGCTCATGGGCATCACAATAACTGTGGGCGGCATCGCCGGCATACCATTGTTGGCGCTCTCTGGACCGATAATATCGAAAATCGGCCATGCGAATGTGCTTTTCATCGGGTTTGTGTTTTACGCCGTCAGACTCTGCGGTAAGTGTTTAAATTTCAATTATTGCTGTTGCGACAATTTGAACGATATGTAGTTTACACACAGCAATGTGCGGAACACGCACGGATACGTGTTCAGAAGCGTAATGAGACGCTTCCTGCGCAGGATATTCCCTGATTTACGATCCTTGGCACACTTTGATCTTCGAGGCACTGGAGTCGGTCACGGCGTCCCTCAGCTTTACCGCAGCTGTCACTTACGCGGCGAAATTATCAACCACCTCCACCGATAGCTCGATACAGGGACTGCTCGGTGGTGTTTATTACGGAGTCGGTATGTTCGTTGGAATTGTCGAAATCTCTCGGCGTATAATAGAGATTCGATATAATAAAAATTCTGAAGGCTCCCGTTTCCTCACTGCGGTCATCTTGATCGGTGACGATCAGAAACGAGAAACCCAGTAAGCAAGAATTAAATTAACGTTTAGAAATGTTGACTTTATGTATATTTTTTAGATGTTTTTTTAATAATATTACATATATATTTTTAAAATATTATTTTTAAATATGATTTTCCTGAATGTTATTGAAATATTCTAAAAACATTACAAACAATATTTCTTAAATGTTAATTTGACATTTATCTGAAGTCAATGCAACAGTTGAAAATTGCGTATAATTTGAACTTAAAAGTAATGTTGGTAAAATATTAATTTTCTGTTGTTGCAATATTATTTTTTGTATTGTTTTAGTATGTTCGAATCTCGCTGTCTGTCCGCTATTTCAAGGAATAGTGTGTGTATGTGTGTGTGTGTGTGTTTGTAATAACGACCGAGGTAAGAAGTACAATCCTGTTATTGTATAAGTAGTCGCAATAATCAGCGGCTGCATTAAATTCGTCTTACACGCTTTAGTGCTAAAAACATTCTATCTTCTTTCGGCATGCAATGAGTAATAAAAGTAAAATAACACTTTTGGTACGAAAATATGCAAGATATACTTATACATAGTAAGGTAGTAATTACCTAACTTCTATTTTTTAAATAATTGCGTATATATAAATATGACTGCGCAGGCAGTGTTTGCCGGTATCTAGATAAAATTATCTAAATAATCATCCAAATGAATAAACAGATCATCTTTATCTTTATCTAAATGAAAGAAATCAAAAATATATTCATCTTCATTTAAGATAAAACATGTTATCTCACCTAAAAATTATCTGAAATGATATGGTCCATATTCTGAATTCACTTTTGGTCTTTTTTGTTAGATCATTAAATTTAAGAGCGATTACGTTGACGAATTACTTAATCGTTGTGCAATTTTATGATTTGCGTAATTTTTATTATTAACTATTATTAATTTAAATTGTTATAGTCTCTCATAAAAACAATATCTTAAATAAATTATTTAGATAAGTAATACTACTACTTATCTTCTCTTTCATCTAGGTAAATTAAAAGAAAAAAACATCTTCATCTCATCTAAGATGAATTTTTCGGATTTTCATCTAATCTTCATTTAGATGAATCTGAAAACATCAAATACTGTGCGCAGGTATAATCATATTTTTAAATAACTACGGCACTTATACGTATACGCCACTATTTTAAGAATAGAAGCCCTGAGCCCGGAGCAATATTCATAGATATCACTGATAGTATTTTTAAATTTTATCGTTTCATCAATGTTATCTCAAAAACGTTATGGGAATGATAGAGAAACTTTACTGCAACGTTATTTGTAACATTATGACATTCCCGTTTCAAATTACCGAAATTTTCAAATCAGTGTCAATGTTTGTTCATAATGATGTTGTATGCAACATTAAATATGACATATTTGAAAACGTTACACGTTATTGAATATCGTCGTAATAACATCGCAGTAATGATTTTTTGCTTACTGGGAAATTCTCACAGCATACGTTGGAAGAAAAAAGTATGTTTGTAAAATGACACTTGAGTATGATCAGTTGAATACACTTGTGAAATATTCCGAAAAATTTCCCTTTACTTTAACGATCAATAAATAGTCAAAGAATTAACAAGTGATAAAATCAAGAAAAAAGATAGGCTAAAAAGGAAAGTTGCTTATCGTGTTAATTGTACGGTTATTCGTTGCTTGTTAGCTGCAAAAGAAAAGTTTTTGAAATATCTTAAAAATGTGTCCGAAAATCGATCACATTTGTTTCAACGTATTTCGCAGGAATTCTAAGCATGCGTCTTCTCGCTTCTGACGTCATCAAACAGGACGACTGTAATGAGGGACCGGGAGCTTTGATCTATACATTTTGATATTTGCAGGCAAAGGCTCCGGTAGTCTGATCGGTGGTTATTTGATGAAAGCTTTCGGCACCAGACCGACCTACCAGATTTTCGCGGTGGTAACTTTGGTGACTGGCATAATATATTTCGTATTTAACGCGGCTTACCTGAAGAGGCGACCTCAGCCGGAGGGCAACGATATCGTGAAGAAAAAACCGAAGAGCATCGACATGAAGAGCAACCTCGAAAAGCACACGAACGACATCAACCTGGAGGAGAAGCCGCGGCAGAAAAATGACGAGGAAAAGAGGAAGGAAAACTCGACTGGGAGTGACGGTATCGATAACGGAGGATTCTTGAAGGAGCCGCAAAACCAGAAATCGTCAACGGAAACGAACAAGCAGAATTCAACCCAGATCGAAGCTATCAGGAACGCTAAGAACGTCGACAAAACCGTACGAAGTAAGCGGCACGGGGACGACTTGACGAAGAAGAACGACACGATTCACTTCAATAACGAGGAAAATAATGAAAATTCTTTCACTAATCCGAACTTCGAGACTGACAGTTCGGATCAATGCGAAATCACAGTGGAGAGCCAGCGAGTAGACAACAAGCATGTCGATCGGCCGGTTTCTTAGCTCGATTCGAAGCAATAGTCAATTGTAACGAGCGTATCACCGGTATTCATAGTCAGATTTTGTATTTAAGACCGTCTTAAGTTCATCTTCAGATGTAGCTTTGTAGCTGAAACGGGCTATATCTAAAGATGAACTTGAAACGATCTTAGATACAAGATCCGACTATGAATATAGGCTTATGTATCATGATTAAATCTTACAACTGTACGATCGTACAGTCGACGTTATCTACGCTGTATCATTCGCTGGATTGAAACTTTTTATTATTAAACAATTTTTAGCCTTTCACATATATACGGTCACAGGACGGTTGCAATACTTTCTTTCCCATAAGCTTCCGAACGCATCGCACGTCTAATAAGAAAATTCGTTTTTCTAATCATTCTCAGGAGACACATTTTCCTGTTGGACATGAGATGTGTTGCGATACTTGTCGAAAAAAAGTATTGCAACCGTCCTGTGACTGACTGTACACATAAAGGTGAAAACTATTATAATTAGGATCATTCCTTATGAGCGCATAATATTTCTAGAATATTATATAAATATTATTCAATATTAAAATAATATTCTTATAATATTCTAAGAACGTTATGTAATATTTTTTAATATTATACAGGGTCCGCCATCAAAATCCGAACAAAAAATGAACTATTTATTTAAACAAAATTCTATTCGTCAAAATGTAAAAATTACAAAAAACTTTTTGTACATCACTAGTGGTATCCTTTTAGAGTAAAATTACTCCATATAACCCTCTTTTGCTTTGATGATTGCTTCGATCTTTGTCCTAAAGCGCTGGAAATATCGAAGGTTTCTCTCACGCGAGCGAAAGTGAATCTGGTGGTTCTCGCGCACTATTGATCGTGACTCAACTTAAAAGGTGTGTCAGGATATGGGGGGCCATCAAAAGATACGTTGTAAGGATAGAATTATTCCACTGTATACTGCTTCTCACATGATCGAAGCACGCGATGAAATTTCGAGTTTGTTGGCCCACCTCCGTCCATCAAAATTCTTCGGAAAAATCTTCTCTTCGGGGAACAGTGTTGTTTACGTATTCTTTGTAAATTTCGTCAGATCCTTTGATCGTTCGCGCAGGCCGTTAAACGAAAAGTCAAGATACGCGAAACCGTGATACGCACGTGCGAGGCCGGCAAGGCCAAAGGAACTTGCACATGTCTCCTTTTACAACCGCTGTATTTCCTCTTTCGTACAAAGTCTTCTCACTCGCCGCTTCTCCGCTCGCTATCGCACGCTTCCTTCTCGCTATCGCTCGCTATCTCTCTATCTCTCGCTACTCTCTAACTCCTTCTTGCTACTCTCTCTCGCTATCTCTCGCTACACACTCTGCCTCGTCACGATCGCTCGCTATCTAAAACTGTGCGTTACTAGAAGGCGAAACGGACGCGTCTTCTCCGATACGCTTCGCCCGTGGCGCCGAGCGCGGCGCCAGCTGCTACGGTACCGCACGCGGACGGGAACGTCGCGGCCCGCGCGAGAAAGACCTCTCTAGGTCGCAAGCTCTGCTTCCGTCGCTGGCGCGAAACGGAAGTGGCAGAAGTTGGCGCTACAGCCACTCCCCCCCCCCAGTGACCGGCATAGCCGGAAACGCTACACTTTTCGCGCCAGGGATCGGTTTGGGAGTTGGGGGCGCGGCGTGCGGAAACGGCTCTACGGGCTGTAGCAGTGTGCTTGGCTGTTCCGGTTGAGCTTCAGGCCAGTTTGGTGCAGCATCCGGACTTGTGGCTTTTGCAGCTCCCTGCTCCCGGTAGGCCGGCTTTAGCGTGTCGGTGGACACGACTTGTTCCTCGTCGTTGATCTGAATTACATAGACTCTCTCGTTGAGGCGACGGATGACGGGATGGGGGCCTGTATACGGAGGCTCCAACGGCTTGCGAACTCTGTCGACTCGTCTAAAGACGTGTGAACAGGTTGCCAAATCCCTGTAACAAAACGGGTATTGAGCGGAATGATTGCAGGTAGGAACGGGGCGAATGGCTCTGAATAGTTGCCGAGCGGCTGGACTGGAACTGGCTGCCTCCGGTGCCTTCGTTGGCGGATCCGTCGGTCGCGACAGGGCGTCAGCGACATTTTCCTCGCCTTTTGTATAGGCTAGCCGGGAGTTGAAGCGCAGTATGTAGTCCAGTTGTCTCGCTTGCCTCGGCGAAGCCTTCGCTGAAGGCTGGCTAGCGGCATACGTTAGGGGCCGGTGGTCCGTGAACACCGTGAACGGGTGCCCCTCCAGAATTCTCTCGAAGTGTTTGATGGCGTCATGGACAGCCAGGAGTTCTCTGTCGTACGTGCTGTATCTAACTTGAGTGGGGTCTAGCTTCCGAGAGAAAAATCCCAGAGGGCGCCAGGAACCGTCCGGCTGTTGTTGCTCTAAGCTGGCGCCGATCGCGGTAGTCGATGCATCCGTACGGAGAGCGATCGGAGCGTCCAGTCTCAGGAAGGTTGCGCAAATGGCGTTAACAATGTTTTCTTTGCATTGCTCAAACGCCTGAATTGCGGTTGGTGTCCAGCTGAGCTTTGCTCTCTTGGTGATTCCTTTGAGGAGGTCGTGTAGAGGAGCCTGGACTTTCGCTGCTTGGTGAATGCACCTACGGTAATAATTAATTATTCCCAAGAACCTTTTTAACTCAGACGCTGTGGACGGCCTAGGGAATGTTTTCACTGCGTTTATTTTATCTTGCGGAGGCTGAAACCCTTCCGCCGAGAGTAGGTATCCCAGGTAAACGACCTGGGGTTTTCCTAGAGTGCATTTAGCTAGATTAATTTTGAAACCTGCTTGGCGCAGGATGAGGAATGTTCTTCTTAGGTGCTCAAGGTGCTCTTCGTGATTCTTTGACTTGACTAATATATCGTCAATATAAACCTTGACAAAAGGCAGCTTCCGGAAGAGTTGATCCATGGTTCTCTGCATAGTTTGAGCAGCGTTCCGGAGTCCAAGAGGCATACCTAAGAATTCAAACAGTCCAAAAGGCGTGGTAACGGCAGTTTTTTTTAATATCCTGCGGAGTTATAGGTATCTGATGAAACGCTTTGTGCAGATCTATAACTGAGAAGACTTCTCCCTGACTTTCTTGGAGGAGGTCTTCGATAACCGGCAGTGGATATCTATCCGGGACCGTGCTGCTGTTTAGTTTCCTATAGTCACCCGTAATCCTCCAGCTCTCCGATTTGGGTACGAGGTGTAGAGGACTGGCCCATTGGCTGTTGGAGGGTCTCACGATTCCTCGATCCAACAGATCTTGAAAGGCCGCCTTTGCCGCGATGAGCTTCTCTCCCAGAAGGCGTCGCGTCCTCCGGACCCAGGCTTTCAATGGACGAGACAGAATATAAACTGGTTTTCTTTAGGCATCCTCCCGTAGTCAAACCTGTGAGCGGGTCAATCGGTCTATGATTTTTGATATCTGGAAGTAGGCCGAATTCTTTTAAAAAATCAGCGCCTAAGAGTGCGTGAGATACATCGGCGAGGACGAACTTCCAGGTGAAATCTCTCCGAAGGCCTAAATTTAACGTAAGCTGGTGCGTTCCGTATGTCGAAATTGGAGACTGGTTAGCTGCGACTAGCATTAGCGACCAGTTTACTTCGCTCTGGGTTCCGGGACGGTATGGTAAAATCGACGTTGTTGAACCGCAATCCACGAGAAAATTTGTTCCAAGGTTTCTATCGCGGACAAGCAGACGGATTTCTTCTGTAGGGTAGCTTACCTCCGACGTCTGCTGCGGAGGTGCTAGCAGTTTTCCGAATTCTGCAACTGCTCTTGTGCGAAACTACATGGAGCGATGCATCTGAAGGCGTTGGCTCGGTGAAAACGGCACCAGTTGTTAGGTCCTGCATTGACCGAGCGTGCGCGGCTACGAGAGGGCGACCTGGCTCGACCACCTCTGAAATTGGGGTCTCGGGTGCGTTGGCCCGAGTCCATCGGTTGTTTGTACGACGCTGAGAGCTGTGCTACAGCGAGTCTCAGTGACGCGACCTCCTGCGTGAGCTGGTTCAGCTGTGCAGCAGTCACTGGATCGGAGAAGCTCGAGAGAGTGCTTCTGAATAGCTAGCACTTGTGAAGGACTACTTACTAGTTCGTCCGCGGCTTCCAAAATCTCGTCTAGACTTGACCTCTTAAAAATACGGAGAAATACTTGAGCCTGTGGAGGTAGAAGGTCTAGCCATTTAATTCTCAAACTATCTTCTGTAAGATTGGAACCGGCGAGCGTTTTCATCTCCCTCCATAGGCGAGACGGTTTTTTGTTACCCAGCGACAAACCCGAGAACAGTTTCTGTAGCTGTTGCTCCTTAGAGTCAGTAAGCCTAGTTATAATTTGTTCTTTGAGGTGTGCATACCTATTATCGCTCGGTGGGTCAGCTAATACATCTGCGAGATCATCGACCGTCGCTGGGTCCAGAGCCTTCACTAGTCTCGAGTACTTGTTCTGGTCTGTGACTATCTGATTCGTTGCGAAGAAGATGTCCGCTTGAGTGAACCACGCCACTGGATGCTTTCTCCAGAGAATAGGCAATTGTTCCTGGGAGTGTGCCATCGTCCTTGGCGAGATGTCTGCTTGGGCAGCGATTTCAATATTGTCTGCGTCGGCGTGGTCAGTCGTTTTCTCGACTGGGACGGCGTCGTCGTCGGTAGCGAGAGGATCTGCTGAAAGCAAATCTCGGGGCGAGGTTTCCGTTCTCGAGCAAGCTGGCGCGCACGCGATTTCTAAGCGGTCGTCCGCAAGCGGCAGGAGCGCGAATTTAGCTACAAGCGTCTCCGGCTCGGAGGGCCTAGGTTGAGTATCGAAACCTAGGAGAGGCGGGCTCTGCGGGTCCTCCGCGAGCTGCTCTGATGCGGCAGCAGTTTCGGGCACGAGAGCGGAGTGTGCTTGTTCAGTCGGCACGCGAAATGGCGGCCGCGGTGGCGATAAAATGGCGGCGGCAGCGCGAGCACGTGTAGCTCGCGTGGCGACGGTAGAACTGTCCGGGAGGCGGTCTCCTGCCCGGCCACGAGTCCGACGTTCGCCGTCGGCGCGGCCTCTCGACGTGGATGGCGGAGAGGGCTTACCGCGGCGCGGGGGCACGAAACTTCGTCCCTGCGACGTCTTTTCGCCGCGAAAATCGCACGGAGAGAAAGAATAAAAGGAAAATGGCTGACGCACCTTGCTTTAATGCGCAGCCTTTGCGCGGTTCGCTCCGCGACACCCTTACACGGAGTCGCCTGAATGCTATCAGCGCTTGCTTCGTCCTTCTCAGCGTGGCCTGAGATACCGATCTCTGCGCTTCTGATCACGTCGGGGTCACCAGTTGAAGGGGGCCACGGCTCCTTCAGGATTCCGGAACAGGTGCGAGGCCGGCAAGGCCAAAGGAACTTGCACGTGTCTCCTTTTACAACCGCTGTATTTCCTCTTTCGTACAAAGTCTTCTCACTCGCCGCTTCTCCGCTCGCTATCGCACGCTTCCTTCTCGCTATCGCTCGCTATCTCTCTATCTCTCGCTACTCTCTAACTCCTTCTTGCTACTCTCTCTCGCTATCTCTCGCTACACACTCTGCCTCGTCACGATCGCTCGCTATCTAAAACTGTGCGTTACTAGAAGGCGAAACGGACGCGTCTTCTCCGATACGCTTCGCCCGTGGCGCCGAGCGCGGCGCCAGCTGCTACGGTACCGCACGCGGACGGGAACGTCGCGGCCCGCGCGAGAAAGACCTCTCTAGGTCGCAAGCTCTGCTTCCGTCGCTGGCGCGAAACGGAAGTGGCAGAAGTTGGCGCTACAGTTATGCTGTCATTTCTATTTTCGTGAAGAAGCAACGGGTGTTTCCGTCCGATATAGGTCCCACCTCGAAGTCTCGGCCTTGTCCCACTTGCCGAGCACTTTCAATTGTGCACGCTGGCTGTTACATTCATGAAGATAAGGACGAAAGCAACGTCGTTTTCGATTACAGAATTGACCTTAGGACGAAACGACAATGTCCCACAGTGTGACGATCAGAACGCAAACAGTAACGACCAGCTCGTCGACTTACTATGTCAACACAGGCTACTTGAAAACTTGGAGCGGTATCTGCAAGCTCCTACAACTGGTATGCATCGTTATTATTATCACGTCTCTGTTTATTTTTATTATTATTTATGTTACATTATTTTTATTGTTCTTAATTCAGTTTGATAATTTGCCGTTGTTTTTAAGGTAGTTTAAGGTAGCATGAAATTAGTTTTTTAAGAATTCGTTAAAAATCGCATTGTATATAAATTTAAATGATCTAATTATTGGTGCAATTATAAATAAATTGACCATTCGGAAATTGAGATATTCACAACTAAAGATTATACTGTTTACATGTGTTCCTCGTGGTTAATGTCCTATTTTTAACTTCTATTTTTCTAAACCACATTTAGGATTTTAATGAAAACTCTTAATTTATTCTATATACAAATACCTTAAATGCGAAGCATTTGATTTGGTCGATTAGTAGATTAAGAAAAATTGCTAATCTCGAAATAAAGACACTATAGTTTCAAGTGCAAATAATATTATAAAAAAACTAATAATCATCGTTACAAAATTGTATATTTAATTCAAGTAAACATTTGAGGTTAAGACGAAGAAATTGATATTATTAGCAGTTCGGAGCTAACAGTTCAGAGATGTTTACGATCTTAAAGTGCTTGCGGTATTAAGGTGTCATTTATCAGCAATGTTTCCGCTTCCGGTTGAAATCGTGCGAGCTTGTGATAATATGTTAGCGATAATATACATATATATAATATATAATAGTAGCAGTAATAGCGGTATATAAAATATTACACGTTATGTTTAATAAGAATATTCTCTCGTTTTTTTATCAATAGGCGCTGGGCATAGTTTGCGTAGGAATTATTAGTAACGAATTTGACAAATACCATTATCGGAATGCGACCGCGACGTTCTTTTTACTTATGACGACCACCTTTATGATTGGGACTTTTATCCTCCTTCTCAGCTGCCTGATATCTTTTTCTACTGCATCAGTTTTAATGAAAACCATTTACGTAAGTATTTCTATGTATAACAAAGATTTCTCTGTAGGTTGATTCGCTCATGTATTTATAATTAATCTAAATAACTTATTTAAATCCCATTAAATATATATTTAAGAAAAAATTGTATTCTTAAATAAAAATAAAAATTGTTTTAATAACATTAAATAAAAATAAAAATTGTTTTAATAATATTATGGAATGAAATTAAGAAAACGTCGTCCTGATAATAATTCATGATAAATCAGTGGAGTTGAGTTTACCTGCAAACTTCACTGTGTGATTTCCTGAATTATACGGTTTCTTCGAAGGTGGGAAGG